TACACAACCAGTTAACAAGTCGCAATTTCATATTCCCTTGCAAACTTTAAGATGATTTGGGAAAAGGGTGTTGCTACACAAAGGAGTGCAAATCACCTGGCAGGGCATCAATTTCAAACCTCATACACATGAAGTCAGCACGTGTTTCTGCCACATGAGAAGTTAGTCCCTGCATTAATTGTCAAGCACTGAGTGATTATTTACTTTATTTTGGCCACGTCACTTTAAATCAAATGCAAAGTTATTTGATCCTTGTTGATACTGCAGCATCCACTGAATCTTCATAAAACAAATGAAAGGTTCCTGTATTGTTAGTACTACTTGGGTGGTGTAAGGGTTAAAGGGCATATATAGCCCTTTCAAGCTTTTTTAGATGCGTAAGATCAGTTTGCTGAAAATAATTAATCCTCAATTCTGCATATGTTATTAAAAAAATTCAATGTATCAAAAAAACTTCAATATATAATTTGTAATATTACAGTAAATGTACACAGGGGCAGCCATATTTGCTTTATATGCGCAGGCTCTGCTAACTACTGTGAATGCTACACAGAGGTTGTGCTTTACTGCTATTTCTCACGACACAAGTCAGTAGGGTTGATTTACTACAGGAGTAGTAGAGCATGTTCACTTTGCAAAGTGAATGAGGTGAAGCTGTGCTGATTCAATCATACAATCATGCTCAAGCAAAAAAAAAAACAAAGGGGTCTATTCACGAAGCAGCCGAATTGACAGCAGCAGAGGGCGGGTACAATGCTAGTTTGCTATTGGCTATTGCAAATTGAAATAGCCAATAGGAATCTAGCAATGCATTCCTATGGCCAAATATTCTTTAATTTTTTTTTGCTATTCTGACACGGCTCCGTGTCAGAATAAGAAAAAAAAGAAAAAGCAGTGTTTCTCTCCTTGGGAGCGGGAGACTCCCGGAGCGCCCGGGAGAGTTAGGCTTTTTTTTCTTTCTTTTTTTTGACAACAGCAGAACCGCCAGCCAATAGAAAACTGTTGGGCGGAGCTAGCTGCCATTGCTAGCTCCGCACAATCGTTTTCTATTTTTATTTTTCTACTTTTTTAACTGTTTTTCTGTTCTGCTCGGTCCCACAGAGAGACCGAGCAGAACAGCCGAGCGGCATTCGGCTATTCACTCACTGCTGTTCGGCATCTATGAGAATAGACCGAACAGCAGCAAGTAGCCTGCCAGAGGTTCGGCTCGGGCGATACACTTTCTGCACTTCGGGTCGGCCGAACATGCTGAGCATGTTCCGCCGACCCGAAGCCACCCGATGTACGGCTGATTTCAGCCGATATACGGCTGAAATCAGCCGTACCAGCCTGAAGTGAATAGCCGAACAGTGTTAGTGAATAGACCCCAAACAGTTTTTTTAATTGTCCTTGCACATGATTAGGTATTCTTTGGAAAGTGAATTTTAGCTTCACTTCGTTCACTAAGCCAAGTGAAAATTCTGTATTCCTTTAGTAAATCAACAGAGTCTGCTCATATGTGTTAAGGAATACACTCCCTATGTGGCTGATCTCTTATCCCAACAGTTGTGAAAGTGACACCCAACAGTTGTTAAAGTACCTCAACTATTAGCAAAAATGTTACTTATTTGTGTATCATTCAGCTGTAGATCCTCAAACCATCTCTGAATTGGTCCTGACACTGTCCTTCCTTCTGGAGGGGGGCTACTTTTGTTCCCCATAGTCCCTGTGTGTGTTGTAAAGTAGCCACCGCTCCAAGCTCACTCCTGTGATGGACTACAATCTTATGTTTAGTTTACAAATTTGTATTGAGATTGGAGTCCATCATGGGAGTGAGCTTGGAGCGGTGGCTGCTTTACAACACACACAGGGACCATGGGGAACAAAAGTAGCCCCCCTCCAGAAGGAAGGACAGTGTCAACACCAATTCAGAGATGATTTGAGGATCTACAGCCGAGTGATGCACAGATAAGGTCCAGGAGTGTTAATAGTTAGGGTATTTGAATGCATTTTTAAGATTTAACTCCTGAATGTAGTGTCACTTTAAGAGAGAGAGAATATGTACACTACGCCACTGAGAGCGCCATCTAGTGGCTACTCTACACATTTCTATATTTAATACAATAACATTGAATGGGAAGGTCAGTTGCTAGTAGCAGTCATATTTAAAGGAGAACTATGGGGCCAGTGTTTTTCCCCATAGTTCTCCAAAGGGTAACGGGAGGACACAAACTAGCGTCCTCCCGTTATCCTAAGCTCAGTATACCGCGAGCTACAGCTTGCGGTATACTGAGACGCCGCAGCCGGGACGGATCACGACTCTTTTGACGGGATCCGCCCAGCTGCGTGAGTGACAGCTGGCTCTGCCTATCTAGAGGCAGAGCCAGCTGTACCCGCCCCCTCCCCCGTCCGTTCCACCAGTCAGCGCTGGCAGATCGGATCGGTGAGAGGGGAATGCAGCCCCTCCCCCTGTCACGGCAGAGAGCCGTGACAGGATCGAGAGGTGAGGGAATCCGGTATGTGTTCCCTCACCTCCCGTTCTACTGAGCCGACCTGTGACAGTCTCATTGTCACAGGTCGGCTTAGAACTATGAGATGAGTGGAAATCACTCATGTCATAGTTCTCCTTTAAGTTGATTTGTGCTGTAATTGTAAAATATTTTTCAGTCCTCATTCAGCTGGCTCCCTCAGTTCAAAAGAGTGTTGGGAGGCCATATCACAAAGGGAGGTATTAATCTGAAAGTGATAAAAAAAATAGTACGGCACTAAAAACATAAAACATGTGCTTATTGAAATACAGTAATGCTCCCCTTTAAAGAGTAAGGGCTCGCTCACTACACAATATGCAAAAAGATGCACAGAAAATGCATGAATGTTGACACTAACTCTGCAACGCGTTGCACTGCATTTTAGTGCAGCTTCTGCTGGCAATAGGAGGATGTAATTTAATTTGAAA